AGAGTAGATCTGAAAAGTTTTCATTCCAAGGGGGAAAAGAATGTCTGTAACTATGTGGCGATGGATGTTAACTAGACTTACTGTGGTGATCATTTTGCAGTGTATACAAATATCAAATCACTATGTTATACACCTGAATCTAATGTTACATGTCAATTAAATCTAAAATAAACAAGAAACAACAAGCAAAGGAAAAAAACACAACTCAAATCAGGGCCCCTTCCTTTGGTTAAAGCCCTTTGAAGCCTTCCCAGGATAAAGACAGGGCTCCTGACCCTGGCCTGATGTGACTTCTGAGAGCCCTGTGCACTCGGGGACTTGCCAGCTCTTGGCCACCATGGTCCCCTTCACTCCCAACCACATTGGCCTTATTTCTGTTCCTCCAAGTCCCTTGTCCCCACTCACCTCCAGCCCCCGAGACAACCTAGTTAATTAGTTCACTCTGTCTTGAGATCTCTGCTAAAACTCATCCTTCAAGGAAGCCTTTCTTGCTGCCCCAGGGCCTTTGCACGCCTCTTTTGGGCACCAGTCAGTGTGCTAATGTTGGTGAGATTATTGAATTAATGTCTGTCTCCCCCTCCAGGCTGTGCATGCCCTGAGGGCAGAGGCCTGTTTGCTTCACTCACGCTGACACCCACCGTAGCTGGCCCAGAGCCCGGCACACAGCAGACATTCAGAAAGCCTTGTAGACAGAACAAAAGAATGTCATTCTGAGGTCTCCATGAAGCCCATTCTCATGTTTAGCTTCCTGAATCTTCCCATTCTTCCAAAACATAAATCAGATCACAGCTCTACTGTGATTGGGAGAGGCCCCTGGAGGGTGAAAAGCAGAGAAAGGCCTTGCCTTGTGACCTGCCACTTCCACCTCTTTGTGCCCTTTGACCTCTCCAAGTTCATTTCCATCTCAACCTGGGGCCAAATCAAGCACAAAGAGGAGCCAGCACTGAGCGCAAGAAGAGTCACTTGCCAGCTGCCCAGGGGCCAGCACCTCTGTGAGGCAGAAGGAGGTGGGAGGGTGGGCGCTGGCCATCCCATTGCAAAGGGATGTTTTCTCACTGATACTGTTTAGAGTTGCCAACAGACGGCGAGAATGAAGAGCGGGTGGACTCCGAGTCCATTTTATCATTCTTATGAAATTCTCTAGAGATGATTTGCCCCCTTTCCACGGCACCCATGCCCCCTACTTAGCACATCACTGCTCTGCAGGACGGTGTCCCCTGTTCATTCCCTTCTCAGTCAGCTGTGAAGAGCCTGGGGCTACCTGATATGGGATGAGGCAGACACAGGCATGAATTTTATGTCACCCCCACATGTCTGGGCAGGACAGTCATTTCCTGCCAGGGAGGGGAGCAGGGACTCGGTGACGTGGTCACACTGCATGAATTCCAGCAGTCTTCACATGACAGGCTTTCTGGTTTGGGGCTTGGGAAGGGCTAGGCCATCCCCGTAGGATCTGGTGGCTTCTTCTGATAAGTATGGGCATTCTGGATCCTTCTTCAGAGCCCCAGGAGAAGCTGGGAGGAGGCTGGGGGGTGCTGATGGAGCAGGAGCGGGGGACGAGAGCAAAACAGGAAGAGCCTCTGAACACTCTTCCCGGCTGTTCCCTCGGCCGGGCACTCCCCTTGCCCCTGACCTATACTATCTCACCCACACATCAGGGGAGGCCAAGTTCTCTGCATTTTTTGGATGAGTAAACTGGGGCAAAGTTATGGCCAATGGGGAGCGGCCTGGTCAGACTCCAGGGAGGGGGCGGGGGTGAGGTCTGTGCCTTTTCCCCTGTCACTCCATTGGGCCTTCCTAAGCCTCTGTCCCCCCACAACGGGGAGGGAATAAGTGTTAGCAAGAAGAAGAGGCAGGATCGAGGCCCTGATCTCAGAAAGGATCACACCAGAGCCTGCTTAATCGCTCATCGGGCAGTGGATTGTAAAATTTCGACAGAAACACGAGGGAAGGAAATCTTGGCCAAGTGGGTAGAGAAACTTTGGCCAGGAAAACAGACTTCTGTTCCAGTTTCCACATGGGGATTCAAGACAGATTTGGCTGCTCACATCCAGCCCTTGTTAGGGGCCTGCCACTGGCCCAGGCATCAGCAACCACGTTTTGATTCATTTTGATTCACCACAATCCTTTGGGGGTGGACCAATTATTCCTGCTTTACAGATGAGAGAACTGAGTCTCAGAGAAAAGCAGTTACTTGTGTAAGGAAGCCAAGCTCTCTGCCTTCTAGCCCAGGGCTGTTTTTCGGGAAACTTGAACCCTGACCTCCCCTGCCCACCTGCATCCTCCTCATTGGCTCCCTATACACACACACACACACAAACACACACACACACACACATACACACACACACACACACACACACACACAC